CATGTCATTACACCAAATACACACAATAATGTTATTTTTAGCAACATCATATGACCCCTTTAAAGCCACACTGAACTGTATAAGTGTGTTAGAAAGTCCTGTGTTTATAAGTCCAGTGTTAATCATGAGAGGTTTAGTTTACTCTGTTTATTCAAAGGTTCACCAGGTGCGAGTTGTGAGGTGTGGCTCAAACATACTCATGCACTCATTTACAAAGCTTTAAAACCGGTGTTGGTTATTTAAAAGATCTGTTGGACGTACTCGTACCTAATTTGGACTCATTCATTTAATAACGTGCAGTCAGTTGTGATAAAGCTTCCCGATGTTATGGACATTGCCATCTTTGATACTGTCGCTACGGTTACCAGAGTATGGTTGTGTCTTCAATTGTTCATTCATACAGATTTGTATTAAAACAGCTATTTTAATCTGCTGAATGAACAAAACTTTGAAGACTCTCACATACAAGCAAATGCAGCTGTCAATGCCAAAAAGTGACTGTTAAAGCAGCCATCATGGACATTTGTATTAGTGATAGATGCCTTTTAATTCTTGGTGCTTTCTTTCTTTAGGATTTTTTTAGAAAATGATTGTTTAACTGTAAAATGCTTGCTAGATTAGTTGACTTATCAAAATGATAACCATAATAATAATATTAATAATTTATGTTTATCTTTTCAGAAAAGCCAAGCTTATGTTATTTAATCGTCAGGAGCGTGACATTCTTTGGTGCTCTCAGCTGGATGAACTTTGTACAAAAGAGGAAAGGTGTAATTTATCCCATTATGTATCTGACTGTTCATTCTATCAGTAATGTCACATTTTTGAATGACAGTACAGTGATCTCAGTGGGAATCAATTCAGATTCAACGTTGATTCAGTTCAGACTGTCATTAGGCAGCATCCTAACTAGCATGTATGTTTCTTAGGTTTGAGGTGGAGTATGTTCTGTCGGAGCCTACAGACTCTTGGAAAGGCAGAAGAGGGCGGATAGATGCTTGTATGCTGCAGAACTTCCTGGAGAGACCAGAAAAAGCCAGGTGTTTAGTGTGTGTGTGCGGCCCAACCAGATTCACAGAGTTAGCAGTGCAGTGAGTCATTTTTTTTAATGGTTTACACACACAAACATTTGATATATCAGAAGCTGTTTGAGTTATGGCATTTTGTACTGTTTGGTTAAGGTATTGATTTGTTTTTCTCAATGGATACTCTCTCACAGATTGGTCAGACAGCTGGACTTCAGTGAAGAGGAAATTCTAATTTTTCAGGGCTGATTGGGACACTGAAGTGAAACATGGATTACTTACACATGCTTGCAGATTATACCTATGCATATAAAATGCACTTTCCAGTCAAAACAAAAGCTGCAACGCCGTTCTTCTATATTTTCTTATAATTTGTAGAAATCTAATGGCACAATCAAAAGCCTGCACTGACAAAGATCAGAAGTTTGTTTCTCAACATTTCTATTATTATTATTATTATTATTATTATTATTATTATTATTATTATTATTATTATTATTTTGTAAATTATTATTATTATTTTGTAATTTAAAATAATGCTCAATAATTCTCCTAGGTTAGTTTTTACAATAAAAAAATATGATCAGTTGTTTTCTGCATTTGTTTTCAGATATATTCATGACATGGAAGATTTAGAGCACTTGTGTAATGCAGCTAAAACATCACTTAATTGAGAAAGCAATCCATGCAAACAGTTTTGTTGCTGTGTCTTCATATAGCAAATTGAAATGGGTCAGTAAATCAGGTTGCAAGAGATGGGCTATTTTACAAGTAAAGTTTATCTCAGTGTATATGTACAGATAAAATTGTAATATGTTAAATTATCAAACTGGAATTCAATTTCCCTACAGAAATGTAAACTCCGACCCCCCAATACAGTAAAACTGCACATTTTAGAGTGGCCTTTTATTGTGGCCAGCCTAAGGCACACCTGTGCAATAATCATGCTGTCTAATCAGCATCTTGATATGCCACACCTGTGAGGTGGATGGATTATCTCGGCAAAGGAGAAGTGCTCACTAACACAGATTTAGACAGATTTGTGAACAATATTTGAGAGAAATAGGCCTTTTGTGTACATAGAAAAAGTCTTAGATCTTTGAGTTCAGCTCATGAAAAATGGGGGCAAAAACAAAAGTGTTGCGTTTATAATTTTGTTCAGTGTATATAATTTGTGCCTCTAGTGCTGTTGTGTCTTAACTGAAATCTGTAAACTTGTATCACAGGTCTGATGTCAGTTTATAAGGGGATGAAAAGTTTAATTGGGTAAAAAAAAAATATTATAGCAAAGCACTTTCTGTTATACCAGCAAACCAGGTTGCTCTTGAAATTAGCGATGGAGAAACGAGGACTCTTGAATCTTTGAAGCTTTTCGCCATAGGCTTATATAAAAAAAAATCTTAGTAAATGTAATTGAACCTCAATAACCAGTAGAGAACTGGTCTGGGTTCAAATATTCTGACACGCAAGTGGTGCTTTTTCACTGCATGGTACGATTCGGCTCGGCTCGCTTGCTTTTCCACTGCAATTAGTGGGTGGGATTATAGACTAGTTGGTCTGCCATCAAGAGCAATGGAGCCTATCGATGGAATGGTGTTCTTGATTCTCAGCATGTGGATGTTTTTCACTGCAAGACGAAGAAGTTTGTTTCAAAGGAGGCTGATGGCAACAAAGCAAAATGCAAGAGAGTCTGGGAACTTGTACAGCAAAGCGTAGACGGCAACATCACTTGGTTTGCACTATGGTGTGCGAGGGTAAGCTAATCTTGCATTTAGCAATGTGTTTAGGGTCTCAATCGCTATATCACCACAAAGCATATAATGAACTTAGCTGCCAATATTGCGTATTAAAAAAAGTATTTTGTGTATTTCAGATCTATCATATTTTGCAAAGTCACCCCACCACAGACCATCTCGCTGGACATTTAACCGAGCTTAACCGAGTGGTAGGATGTGATTGTCCCCGGTTTTAGAATGTCCAATGAAACGCTTACCTACTTGTGCAACAACCTGCGTCCAGCGATGGAGAGACGGGACACAAACTTCTCTGTGTGTGTGTACCTTTAAAGAAGAGAGTAGCCATCGCACTGTGGAAGCTTGCAACCGGCTACAGAAGTGTTGGACATCTTTTTGGAGTAAGCATAACAACAGTGTGTCGGTGTGTTCAGGAGTTCTGTGCTGCTGCAGAGACCTTGTGGGTACCAGAACAAATTCGGGTCCCACTTTATATTAAGTGGCCTTAACTACTATGTACTTACATCAAAAAATATGTACAGTGTACTTATTGTGTTCATATTGTATTGCAAAACACTTTTGCTGCTATTGAGGTGGGATACGGGTAAGGTTAGGGTCAGGGTTGGTGGTATGGGTAGGATTAAGGGTGGGTTAAGGAGTAAGGGATGGGTCAACAGTGTAATTATAAATGTAATTAAATAAATTAATTACAGATGTAATTACAAGCAGCCAGGTATTTTTAAAATATAAGTACAATGTAAAAACATGTATGTACACAAAAAGTGCATTGTACCAAATGACTAATTAAAATGTAAGTACATAGTAGTTAAGGCCACTTAATATAAAGTGGGACCCACATTTGTTTTCCAGATCAGGAGAAGTTTCAAGAAAAGGCTGCCCACAACAGATGAGGGCTCCCACAGTGTATTGGTGCTATTGATGGATCACACATACCCATCATAGCACCACAGGACTATCGCTGACTGTTTCAACCATAAAGGCTGGCACTCCATCATCCTTCAAGGTATTGTAGATGGAAAGGGACTTTTCTGGAATGTTTTCACAGGACTGCCTGGAAGCCTGCATGATGCTTGGGTTTTGACACTGTCCAGACTATGGGGAACCACATACACCAGAAACATTGGGGTGAATGTTGGCTACTACATCCTAGGCGACTCTGCCTATCCCTTGCAGAATTGGCTCTTAAAACCATTCGTTGACACTTAACTTGACAGCAGAACAGCAGGTCTACAACATGAAAATCTGCAGAGCACGTGAAGTGGTTGACAATGCTTTTGGAAGATTAAAAGGAAGATGGCGTTGCCTTATGAAAAGAAATGACTGTGCGGTCAACCTTGTGAAATCTATGGTGCTGACATGCTGTGCTCTACATAACCATTTTGAGAGAATGCATGGGATTCACCTTCAGCAGCGAAGCCTGTGGTGGCACTGGCACAGGCTGTAGAGGATGAGGGCAGGGATGTACGTGAGGGTCTGATGCGTTACTTGAATGGTTAACTATTCATATAGCCTCAAACGAGGTGGTACTATTTAAGCGAGCCATACCTTGAAGTGGAAAAGCACCAAAGCGAGACGTACCATACAGTGGAAAAGCTCCAAAAGTGAAGCATTCTCATGATTGGTAAGAAAGTGAGGCTTCGTTTTTCGTTGATCGTGTGTGTAAGAATTACAGAACCTCAGACACTTTGATCTTCTGAGACAGACAATACACACACAGTGCATTAACATACAGACATCTGTCTCCACATCTGAGAGAAAATGCGGGAAAATGTCTCTCACATATGCATTGGTTCCTCCTCATCCCCTTCCTTCACCTCACCCATCCTTCTCTTCACCCAGCTCCGCCACTGGATACCTTCCTTGGGCCATGTGCGCGGACCTTACATGTGTTTCTCTGAAAACAATATGTGCTCCGGCACGGAGCTTCCTGAGAAATTGTGCTGCTTACTCGATACATGCTTTGAAGCTTCAGTGTCATATGTGGTGACCGTGATTTCACCAAGTACAACATGTTCCTGGATCAACATCCTTGTTGATCCTGGAACAAAATTCCAATTAACCAATCAGAATTGAGGGATAACTTTTCAGGAAATATCTGTTTAGGCTTATGATCAGGGTTAGGTGCTTCTACACCCTTGTTAATCAGCTATCATTTCGCAAAATATGTTGATCCAGGAACATGTCTTACTTGGCAAAATCACGGCGACCATCATATGTAACATCACTACTGGAAATCTCTGTTCATGCAGAGATACTCTGTTCATTGCATGATACTTGGGATAAAATGTGTTTGATACATTGCAGACCAAATATTTATTTATTGAAGAAAGCTCTGAAATATGAATGACTAAAAACTGATGATTATTTGACTGACTGGTCAACCACTGATGACTTCCAACATATAGCTTCAACAGGATTGTCTCTGTATCAGTGCTCACATTCAAGGAGAGGGTGGGATGTGGCACTAAGCTGTAAGTGGAAAAAAAAAAAAAAAAACCTTTTCAGACTGCTTGATTAAATGAATCTTACAGAATACACCTACAGTTTTAGGGCCATATCTTAATGATCTAAGCGCATGGTCTAAAGCGCACGGCACAGGTGCACTTAGGGCGTGTCTGAATCTACTTTTGCTAGTTTAGGATGGGAAAAATGGTCGGCGCCCGGCGCATGGTCTAATAGGTTTGTCCTTATTCTCTTAATGAGTAATGGGTGTGTTTTGGGCGTAATGTGCCATAAACCAATCAGAGTCTCATCTATCATTCCCTTTAAAGGCCAGTTGCGCACGTGTCATGGCGGATTCGCTATTTACATGGCAGAATTTGCAAGAGCAAAGACTGAACGCTTCTCCAGAGAGGAAAGGTTCTGCTCATGCATGAGGTTAAAGCACGTGAGCAAACCATCTATGAGGCACAATAATAATCTTACATTGTAATCCTTTCATTTTTTTATATTTGGCATGTTTTTGCACTGCTGCGTGTCCCTGTGTGTGTAATAAGCACAGTGTACGAGTGTTGTTCACCTGCCTATAGGCACATATTATTAACGCACACTTTAATTAACAAAACAAATAATATTGCACCATTGACTTTAGACCAGGTTTTTGTTGGTCAATGGCGCTGTCTATTTCAGTTGCCTCAAAATAGCAACGCGCCATCAATGCACCTGAACGCACCTCGTTTTCAGACCAGCACGCCCATGGGCGCACAAATGGGCACAAATGCATTTGCTATTTAAATAATTTAGTGCAGAACGTGAAAATTATAACTGTGTCGGGCTGAAACTAGCCAAAAACACTTGCTTCGTGCCTGGCGCTGCATTGCACCGGGTATATGATAGGGCCCTTGATGTTTTATGCTCATTTCTGCAGTCTTGTAGTCTGAAACAAGTCTTCTCACCTGCAAGAGCACAGTGATGTTGTTAACAGTGGCAAATAACACAGGACGATTTATTTCAATCAGGTAAATCCTGGAAAAGGTGCAATATAATTTGTCTCTCAGGCCATTTAAGATGTAGATGTGTTTGTTTCTTCATCTGAACAGATTTGGGGAAATGTGGCATTCCATCACTTGCTCACCAATGGATCCTCTGCAGTGAATGGGTGCCATCAGAATGAGAGTCCAAACAGCTGATAAAAATGTCACAATAATTCACAAGTATTTCACACCACTCCAGTCCTTTAATTAACATCTTGAATTGAGAGGCTTTTGTAACCTGCACTCAAAAACAATATTGTATTACATTAAATGCAATGTAAAAAAAACAAAAATGTACCAAAAATAATGGTAATGCAAGGAAAACACCTTTCTAAGAAACTGGGTTTATTAATTAATCATTCAAGATGACTCACAAACTCACATCAGTCTGATGAATCATTCACTAAATTAACTCACTGAATCCATAAAGGCTGCACTTACCAAAAGCACTGTAAAAGAGATGATCGTAGAGACAATTGGTGCCACTCTACGTAGGCTTATGATGCTTTTGGGAAATGCAGCCCAGAGCGATTACAGAATCTGCATATGACTCAACATTCTTTTGAGACAGACATCCTAACATGCAGTTTGTTGTGTAATTAAGTTTTGTGAAACTTAGAGGTAATTGCTGATTGTTAGTTCATATGTTTAAAACACATTTGTAATATAATTGTTTTCACTCTTTTATGGTTTCCTTGTTACAGTGTAATTATACCTTTAAGTACTGAGAATGTATTATTATTTCTTTAGACAGCTAAAGCTACTGTCTTACAGAAGTTCTGATATAGGACCTCTGGTTCAGCAGCATTGAGAAATCTCACTGTTTGTATCGTTCCACTTTTGTTCCAGACAAGAGTGTTAGTATGTGCATTAGTGGTGGGGAATTTTCAGATTTTTGACTCTTTCTGCAGATTAAAAGTAACTGTCTCTTTGAGTGAGTTATTGAATCATTAATTCAACCCATTTGTTCAAACTGCTGATTTATTCAGGAACAAAACAAGTGACTGAATGAGTCATTGAACCAGTCACTCAACCAATTTGTTTAAAACACTTAACCATTGAGAGGAAAAAAAAAAAATAAAAAAAATCTCAAATTCCCTATTGGCATATATTGCAGAACTAACTGGAATTGCCTTGAAACATCTGCAAGACATAATGAATTCTTAATATTTAGTATAAGACATTGAAGTCATGAAGCTAAACACTCTGGACTGCACTTTTTTAGCTGGTTTGTAACCCAGCATCACCTTTATAAAGCTATACTGTCTTCAAGAAAAGAATGTTTTCTAACTAACTTTGCATACTGACAACATTGCACCATCACACATTCCAGTATACAATTATTAATGGAGAAATCATTTATTTTGTCCTTTACATAGGAAGTGTTTTAACATTGTCAGATGTCACCACAATCTGTATTCTTTAAAAAAAAAAATAAAAAAAATACTGAATGCAAACAAGAGGTGACTGTATAACGTGGCAAATATAAGGTAGCATTAAGAAGTAAATAAACATGTAACATTTATCACATTATCAAAATATTTTGAATTAAAAGTACAGCCAAAAAAAAAAGTAACATCAGTGTTGGCCAGCATTTTTTGTCTCATATAAGCCCACAGCCCCAGAAATAATAACAAACCAGAAATGTGCTGTGTATGTATACTGGATATCATGTAGCAGTATCCTTAATATTATTATTTTTGAAATGCTGCAGAAATTTGCTACAGTTTCTCAGTGCTAAGAACACATGAATGTACTTGTGACATTCTGCTCAGCTACAATGAAAGAATGAACTTGGAAGTGCAGGATAACATAAAATGCATCTATGCGATTTCTCAAGACAAGTTTTATATAAACACCAGGAAGTGATTTTGTTGACTGGCTCTTTTACTTGGAAAAGGTGGGACTTACTTTATTAGAGCTGCCATTTTGGGAGTTCCATTTTCTCCCATTCATTGTAATACCAGTGGTCTGGTCTGTTCTACAATAAGTTATCTGTTTAATCTATATGCAGTCCCTGGCGATAAGTTAATGATGAAACGAAAGCAAAAAGGAACTGAGTGGGCCTATTAGTCACAGACAGATTCTTTTTGCTAATCACTTTCACAAACAGATCTCTCATGTGAGCCAAATCAGTCAGGTTTGGGCCTGGATGAATTTGTCTTTAGATATGAACATTGTCACTAATCTCTAAGGATTTGAGCATAGGGAATTCATCCCAAAGTTCTTCATTCTCCTCACTTTCAGTGGATTTCTGAGGGAATGTAGTGAAGTGTTGTACTTGAGAAACACTGCCGCTTGGTGACACATTCTCATACGGTGGGGGGCTGCCAGGGTCGTCCGCCCCTAACAGAGGCTGTGTGGACTCCGAGCGAACGTAGGCTGGTCGAGAGGATGAATGGTTTTGATACGGACCACCGAAAACAACTGTGGCATAAGGGATAGAATCCTTGTCATGCTCCGTATCATATCTGACACAGGTCTGGAATGAGGGATGGCTCTCATCATGGCTGTCGATATCATGTGACCACTGGTTCTCCTTGACATAGTCACTCTTGAATGGCTCGTTCTCAGCCAGATCAAGAAGACTGAAGTGGGACATATACACCAACACAGGCTCCATGTCTTCTTTAAAGTGAGGCATGCCCTTGGACAAAAACATGTTAAGATATGAATTTATTAAGCAGTTTGGTTGACTTTTGAAGCCATTTGATTATTATGTATTGAAATCTATTTCAGATATTGAGCTATCTATGAAAATGATATATACGCCAGGTTCTCATACCTGCAATGAGTCAGTGTCGGTCCACCTCTTAATACTGCTGTTGGCAGGATCAGGAATTATAGGCCACAAACACATCTTCACACTATGAAAAACAGTCATAAATTAAATGATAATAATAGCACTGGCCTTAGGTACACAATAATAACAAGCCTGTGGATGCTCACCGTTCATTTTTCCCAACACAGGCAAACACAACGATGATGATGAGAAGTGATAACCCAATGCATGCTGGGATAACAAACAGCACCATTTCAATTCCATCTGAAAACCATTTTCAATAATGTCAAACCAATAATGAAAGGACATTCACTGTGTCTGAATATTCATACTTTAAAAAAAATAAAAGTCTGCATTCACTGAGATTCTGGTGTACAATCAAAAAACGGCAGCTGTGGTAGCAACATTTTAAAATTTACGGTTTTAACTTAAATTTACAGTTAAATACCGTAATTTCATAAACTGATATAATGTTAATATACCAACCTATTGAAGTACTGAAATCTGTTTTGTACATTACATGTAACACACAACCCTAATATACAAAACTAATAAGAAAAAACTAAGAAGACAGTTATT